GTGTCTAGCTTCCGGATGCGCAGCTCGACTTGCCGAAGGAGACCGCCCAGTAGCACCACCCTCAGGGGTAGACCCGGCGACGCTGGGTCCTGCGACTTCTTTTCGTTCCACGACTGACCCAAGTTGAACAGCTGGGTTAGGATTGCCAGGGGGGCGCTTGTCTGCATGAACAGAACGTACGCACAATCCTGGCGAAACAGCTGCAGCTGATCCTCCTGGCGTATGACTACAGTTGTGAGCATCCGAACGACGCTCGTCAGGTCTTTGGGCGGGGCAGTCTGCTTGTCCTTCGCGGCGCTTTGAGGCTTTGACGAGCCTCCCTTGCCTTTGCCCCCCCGATCGCCTTTGTTGGTCTTTTGTGGCCTGGAGGTGTCCTCCGTTGGGGTCTCGCGCTCGCGCTTCTGCGCAAACTCCAGTGTCTTCTGTGCCTCCATGAGCTCGTTCCACTGTGCCATCTCCTGACGTCCCATCTCCAGTTCCGACAACCTGAGCAGGATCGGTAGCATACGGCGGACAGTGTTTAAGGATGGCTGCAGTGAGAAATACCGGGCACCCAGCAGCTCCCCGGTCATGAGGGACAGCGCAGTGCGGACAGTTCTTCCACTCCACTCTAAGCTGCTTGAGCCTATTTTTGAGATGCGGCATATGTTGCTTAACCGGCTGGTGTTGCTGTGTGAGGTGCTGTGCAAGAAAGCGCGGTTGCGTGATCCAAATACCGCAGATAGGACAGTAGTGGCTTCGTTTCCGATGGTGTACAAGCTCAGCAACCTGAGGGAGCGACTGTTCGGCAGCAGCCTGGAGTAAGCCGCGGTCCTCCGCGAGTGGAGTTGGCTCAGGTGGGAGATCCTGCAAGTGAGCAGGCTGAGGTGCGCCATGGTGCAGAACCGGGCAACATTCACGATTGTGGTGTGACATGAACGCCGGCCAGGCCGCAAACTTGTGGCCGCACATGCGGCATGTGGGCATACCGCCCACGCAGTACTTGAGGTGATCCTCAGTTCTGGTACGCATTACTTGTTTGTGGATGTGCTGGTCCTCTTTAGTGCGCTGTTCATGTACTCTGGTGTGGTGGAACTTGAGCATTGCATGCGTCTGAAATTTTTCTTGACAGATTTCGCAGGTGAGCATCTCTGGGGCAGCTTGAAGATGAAGCTGTTGTGGTTGGGCAGGTGTAGGGTCATGGAAAGTGGTCAGGAGCCTGTCCCATCGGGCGCGAACTGCGTCAGTGGTTGGCAAAAAGCAGTTGGCACGAGCCTTGTCAATACGTAGCCGGGTGTGGGCTTCAACTTGGAGCAGCGGATCGGCGAGGTTATGCTTGAGCAGTACCTCTTCGTTGCTACGACCAGTGAGATAAGGATGATCTCCGATTACCATGCGCATCTGACGAGTGATGGTGGCACGAAATTTAGCACGTCCCTCTGCACTCAGCCCGACACTTGTGAGGCC